CATCCATCCATCCACCCACCCATTCATCCATCCATCCATCCATCCATCCATCCATCCATCCATCCATCCACTCATCCATCCATCCATCCATCCATTCACACATCCATCCATCCATCCAACCATCCACCCACCCATCCATCCAACCATCCACCCAACCACCCACCCACCCATCCATCCATGATCACCCACCCACCATTTGAGTAGTGTGGCTGAGGCTGTGGCAGTCAAATTTAAAATTGTTGGACATTTGAACATTGAACATTGTGACAGCTTTCTTCCACCTTAAATATATCTGAGACAGCTCAACATGTGCAGACATGCTGAAATAGCACCTTCTACAGACCACAGTCTTTCTTAAGCAGAACAAGAACCTGGGAATAAAGATTTTACCGCTCACCTGCAGGCACTTATGGAAAAGTGCTGCTGTCTTGTCAGTTTGATGAGTTAACATGATGATGAACATGATCCTCTGATTTTTAAACACACTTTCAAAGTAATTAAATACATTTAATATAACTTGTTAGTCTTAACTTGATCTATAGGCAAGTACTCAAATACAAGCACTTGGTTTGTACTCAGTTTGAAACAAAAAGTGGTACTGGTGTATCTGTAGAAGGATGGATGAAACAGCTTTTCCAAATAAAAACACTTTCTTACAGCATATCGTTTAAAGAAGTGCCTCTGTCTGAGGAGAAGGAAGCAGATGACAACAGAGATGGCTGTCTGGGCCAGAGTGAAGATGAGGAGGGACGACTTTATTCCTTTGCTCAGTCTCTGTTTAAAAAGATGAAGAAAATACAAACAGATGTTGCAGGACACATAAAACACATTTATCCACCATGAAACATTCTCTAAATGATTTCCTGCCTTTCAGTCGAGGTAACGTGACCCCTGTTCTCCCACTGATGGATGGCGCCTATGGCTTCCGTTTCTTTGACCTTCTCATCTGGGTTTAGTTTTTTCAATGTGTCATGATTTGACTTGCAACTTTGTTACAAAGTAACTTCTGCGCTTTGGTTAGATTTATTTTCTGTGCTTGTTTTTGGTGATAGTCTAGGTTATTCTTGTTTTCCTGATGTTAGTTAAATCGTTGGATTAGTGCCACTCATGTCTTAGTATTGGTTTAGGCTTTGTTTTAGTCACTTGTTGGGATTCAAGGTACAGCTTTAAGTTGGTTTCGATCCCATCTTTGAAATAAGAGTGTTTCTGTAAATCTAGGACAGCATTCCTCCTATGTGTCTCCTCTGAAATATGGGGTGCCCCAGGGGTCAATATTAGTGTCTGTTCTTTTTGCCTTGTACTTGCTGTCTCTGGGTTTTATCTTTAAAAAGCACAGAGCCTCTTTTCATTGTTTTGCAGATGATATTCAAATCTATCTACCTGTAACTACAAATGACAGCCAGTCTGCTGTACACATGTTACAGGTTAGTCTTAGGGACGTACAGGCGTAGTTGAGAGCAAATATTCTGAACCTGAATAAGGAAAAAGCAGATTCTGGTGTTCAGTCAATGCAATCCCCTGCTTGGGCATGACAGTGTGGTTGGTGCTTTGTCCTCCTTCTGTCGTCCGTTTGTAAAAAGTCTGGGCGTGATGGTTGATCCTCTGTTTAAATTTGATAAGCATGTTAGCACTGTTGTCAAAGCCAGTTTCTTCCAGCTGAGGACCCTTGCAAACATAAAATCTTACCTTCCTCGGCCTGATCTAGAGAGAGCTATCCACGCATTTATTACATCATGTTCGGATAATTGTAATTCTTTGTATTCAGGGTTGGACCAGAGCTCCCAGCAGCGATTGCAGAGCGTCCAAAACGCTGCAGCCCATCTGTTGACGAACACAAGGAGGCGTGGATCTATTACCCCCGTTTTACACTCCCTTCACTGGCTCCCTGTTGCTTTTCGGGTGAAATTTAAAGTTTTATTGATTGTTTTTAAGTGTTTAAACTCCATGGGCCCATCTTACCTAAGTGAGCTGCTGCAGCCCTACACTCCATCCAGAGCCCTGAGGTCAGCCGACCAGCTCTTGCTGGCTGCAGTCTCTACAGCGAGGCTGAAGACTAGAGGTGACAGAGCCGCCTCTGTGGCAGCACCCAGACTGTGGAACAGCCTCCCTCTCCCAGTCAGTAGACCAGTTTAAGTCCAGACTGAAAACACATCTGTTCTCCCTGGCCTTTAACTTCACTTCAACTTCAAATTAGTACCTGACTGATTCGAGCTTTGGGGAAATTGCAGCAACTGAAATAAAGTATGTCTTGGTTTTATTTGTATTATTATTTTATTGGTATTTTAAAGCACATTTTTATCATACTTTTATTTTTATTAAACTCAATTTTATTTCTTTTATCATATTTTTATCTATGAAGTTGTAATTACTGTGAAGCACTTTGGTCAGCTGACGTTGTGGTAAACGTGCTATTTAAATCAACTTTGACTTGTCTTGACTTACTACTCGTTGTCTCTGTACGTTAGACCTGGTTTTAACTACCAGCATGTTGACCTTGTTGTTGATCACTGTTCAAATGTAAAAGGCAATTTTATTTTTGCCCATGCCTGTTTGTATTTGTCTGTCTGTTAGCAAAATAACTTGTGAACCACTGGATGGATTAAAATGAAACCGTCAGGAAGTAATTGTTGACTATGATTGACAACTGACCCAAGTTAGTGTGGCTGCTACAGTTAATCCACATTAGCAAACGCAAAAATGGCAACTCAGTCAGTTTTACGACAAAAAAAAAAAAAAAACTAAAATTTTGTGCGTGATAACTCATCAACACCATCACTATTCCAATAACAACACATTCAGTGTAGGACAACACTCCAGTAGCGTTAGCGTTAGCTAGGAGACATCCTCAAAACATACTCTAAGATAACAAATTGTGTGCCATCTTTGCTCAAAACTTCAACCCTGTCAACCCTGTTTATATGTTAGCAAAATATCTCTTGCAACACTGGTAGGAATTTAATGAAATTCTTAGAAAGTAATCACTGAATGTATATCTACATCTGCAACTGTAAATCAGGGACCTCGATCATTTGAGGAAGATGTTTTCTAGTTTTGCTTTAAAGCAAAGTTTCCTGAAATGATTGTGATGACCGGCGAGGTGGCTTAAGAGCAATCTATGGTCGCCAAGGTCAGCACTGGCCACCACCTGGTGCACCTGGTGCACTACCTCTGACAAGCAAAGAAAACAAACAAACAACAACCAAAGAACAACCTACTACTTTACTTGCACTGAACAAAAACATAAATGCAACATGTATTATTTTTAACTCCCATTTTCCATGAACTGAACTTGACATGACATGACTTGACATGCTGTGCTAAGCGTGCCTGATCCAAGACTCAAGTCAGTCCAAGACTCGACAACAAAACAAGTTTAACTTACTGACAACTCATCAACACCATCACTATTCCAATAACAACACATTCAGTGTAGGACAACACGCCAGTAGTCAATTACATGCCAGGGAGACAGAAAAGTGGGTGAAGAATTTATCTGACAGACAGCTCACCCAGCCGGAGACAGAGATTCTTGCCAGGGGACTGAACTTTGCGGTTGCACCAAGTAGAATTCCTCTGGTGGAGATGATCACAGCCACAGAATCAGCCATCCGCAACAACAAAATGAAAGAGGCTGAAGCAGAACAGCTCAGAGTCAAAGTTTCATCCTGCCTCAGCAATGCCAAACCACCACCTTCCAACATCAGTAGAGAGGAGAGGGATGCACTCACCACTCTTAGCAAGGACAAAAACATCATCATTCTCCCAGCAGACAAAGGAAGGTGCACAGTGATTTTGAACCAGAAAGACTATCATGAGAAAGTTATGACACTCCTTAGTGACTTAACCACTTATGAACCTCTGAAAAGAGATCCAGGAAGTGGTTACAAGAAGAAGTTGATAGATTGCCTGAAAATGTTGGAGCAGGACAAGGCTATTGACCGTTTTCTGTACCACAGACTGTACGCAGGGGAGGCCACACCTAGTCTGTATGGTTTACCTAAAATCCACAAACAGGGTGTACCTTTAAGACCAATCGTTAGCATGATTAACTCTGTCACTTACAATGTTTCCAAATATCTGGCGTCTGTACTCATCCCTTTAGTTGGCAGCTCAGAACACCACATACAGAACACCATGGACTTTGTGGATAAGGTGAGGGATGTCATCATGGAGACTGATGAAACAATGGTCTCTTTTGATGTCACATCACTCTTTACATGCATTCCTGTTGATGATGCAGTAGAGGTGGTCAGTTTAAGATTAAAATCAGACACCACTCTGAGCAGCAGGACCACGCTTTCCACAGAACAACTGTGTCAACTCTTGAAACTGTGCCTGCAGTCAACCTACTTCACATATGGGGAGCAATATTATAGGCAGAAACATGGGTGTGCTATGGGGTCTCCAGTTTCTCCTATTGTTGCCAACCTGTACATGGAGGAGGTAGAAAAGAGAGCCTTGACGTCCTTTTCAGGGACACCACCAAGTCATTGGTTCAGGTATGTTGACGACACCTGGGTTAAAATTAAATCTCAGGAAGTCCAACATTTTACTGACCACATCAACTCTGTGGATAAATACATCAAGTTCACACGAGAAGATGCAAAAAATGGCAGGTTGGCTTTCTTGGACTGTGAGGTCTCAGTCTCTGATAGAGGACATTTGCAAACTGAGGTGTACCGCAAACCCACCCACACAGACCAGTATTTGCAGTTTGACTCCCATCACCCTTTGGAGCACAAGTTAGGAGTCATCAGGACTCTGTACCACAGAGCAGACAGCGTCCCCACTAGCTCAGGAGCCAGGCAGAAGGAGAAATCCCACACAAGACAGGCTCTAGAGCAATGTGGATATCCTAACTGGGCCTTCCTGAAAGCAGAGAAGAAACCCAAAGAGGACTCCAGTCAGCCATCAGGTGAAAAGGAGGAACCCAGACCCAGACCAGTGGTCATTCCGTATGTTGAGGGGGTATCAGAGAAACTGAGACGTTTATTTTCTAAACATAACGTCCCAGTGGCTTTTAAACCCCAAAATACATTAAAGACTGGTTCATCCCAAAGATCCAGTCCCCCGGCACAAACAGAGTAATATTGTGTATGTTGTTCAGTGTCAGGAGGGCTGTGATCAGTCTTACATCGGGGAAACAAAACAGCCACTGGCCAAAAGGATGGACCAGCACAGAAGATCAACATCATCAGGCCAGGACTCTGCGGTCTACACTCATCTCCAGGCCAGCGGTCACTCTTTCAAGGATGAAGATGTTCACATCCTGGACAGAGAGGAACGATGGTTTGAGAGAGGAGTAAAGGAGGCCATCTTTGTGAAAAGAAACCGTCCATCATTAAACAGGGGTGGAGCCTCCGGGTTCAACTGTCCCCCTCTTACAATGCTGTGATTGCTAGTATCACTCAGCCCTCTGTGAATAGTAAACAGCCATCAGGTGCTAATGATCCATTGTTAGGCTGATGGTCCTTCTTGAGCATGTGATCAGCTGGTTTTGGTTGTCAGCAGCAAACTGGTTGATCCACCCTGAGAAGGTGCTATTTAAGAGACTGAGCTGAATACAGCACCTCAGACTGAGGAAGTCTCTCGGATGAGAGACGAAATGTTTCTACATTTTTTTTGTTGTTTTGCTTTGTTTTGGTTTTTGAATGTCCAGAGGACCAGATTTAACTTTTTTAGATTTTTCTACCTGGATTATTGAGCATGCATCAGGGGATTACTTCTGAATGTTTCAAAAAAACCTGTTCAATGATTTATGAGATGTTTTGTTCACAGTACAGACTAATAACAGATATATCTCACCTTAGCCTTCAGAGGCAGAGCAATAATATTAAAACATAAAATGTAGTAGAAGACAACAAAAAGGTACATAACACTAACAAGAACAACATAAACAAAAATACATAACACCAAAAAAAAACTTGACTCAGAGACATAACAAGAAGCTGCCACCAACCATGGAGTAGTATTCGTCATCACATTCTGCATTCGTCTCCTCACAGGTCTTATAATTGTCCAGGTCCACAGCGTAGATGATCACAGCAGCTACCGACAAAACTGCAGAGATCATGCTCGTCATCAAACACATCCACACCTGAAAAACACATTCCCTCTGTCATTACAGGCTTCAGAAGTTTGTTAGCTGTGATACGTGCATCACACCTTTATCATATTTGGAATATTGTCCCTTAAGTGTGAGTATGAATGGTTGTTTGTCTCCATGTGTCCCTGTGATGGACTGGAGACCTGCCCAGGTGTCCCCTGCCTCTCGCACAGTGACTGCTGGACATGAGCACCAGTGACCACCTCAACCGAGAAAGGAAGAAGCGGGTAAAGATGATGGATAGATGTTTACTGTCAAACATTGCTTTATATCTCACTATGGGAAGTGCCTTCAGGGGTGACCAATTACGGAAGCTGCAATATCACCAATTCTGTCACTGACAGAGCAGTCGCAGGGGTGTGTGCAGGGGTGTGTCCCCTTTTTTAAGCGTCCCTGCTGTACACTTCACCTTCTCGCTATTAGAGATGGATATAAGGCTCTTTAAGGGAACTGGATCTTGAAGATCCGTTTGATTCATAGAGACGTTCAATTTTGAAAGACAGTGACCTCATCACATACGGCATATGTGCTGACGTATGTCATCACGGCCATACCGTGTTTTGTCAAGCCCCTCCTGAGCTGCTGCACTTCTCAGCCTTTGCATGTTCTTTGTCTCAGTGAAAAAGAGAAGGAGGACAATTTGTCTCTGTGACTGAGGAGAAATATGAAAAAATTATGAGGAAAGAAGTAAAACTATTAACAGCTCTTTACAGTCTGCAACTTGGTTCTTAATAATTGTTGTAAAGAGACGTTCAAACATTCAGGCTCGTTTGCAAACGTCTCTACTTGCTATCTTCCATGTGAAGATCAGAATAACTCCTCAGCTGTCCAAATCAAGATTATGCAACTGCTGGTGGACTCAGCCGTCAAGACTAATCCTGTATGTGTTTTTCTGGTTTTGGACTTGTCGTTAGATTTGTTTCACTAAGGCTTTTTACAATGTGGCAAACCTCTTTAAAAGAAACGAAGAACCTTGATTTTGGAGGGTTTTGTGCGAGCTAAATGGCTACAGCTGGTTCCTCCCAGCAGAAAACAGGTGGCAGTAAGGATAAGTACATTGTAGGATTTCAGGAAGAAAAGAAACAGAGAAGATGATACATAACAACAGCTAAAGCCTAAAATGAACCAAACAGTGGTGAAAAACTTAATGTAGCTAAATTGTGCTCAGTAATATTAATTCTTATTTAAAAAGATCATTGCTAAAAGCAAAAATCAGCAAAACAGTAGCTAAAATGAGCAATACAGAAAAATCTAGAGCAAGTATGATAATGATTTCCGAAAACACTTTTTGGACTGAATAAAAAAAAAAAAAAAAATATATATATATATATATATATACAGTAGTCCCTCGCTACTTTGCAGTTTGTTTATAGCAGACTCGCTCTATTGCGGGTTTTTTTTTAAGTACTGTACATGTATAGTATTTAAAACAAAATTTAAAAATGCACCGCCATTTTGTAGTTTTCTTTCATTAAGTCATCACTGTTTTTCCAGTCTAAAGAACTACGTTACCCAGAAGCCATCAATTCACTTCCCAGAAGTCAACACTGCTCTTTCAACCACTGCTTGCTGCAAATGGGCAGCGAAGTCAGAAGTTCTGTAAGTTCTGCTGCTCACAGGACTGGCAGGAAAGTCTCAAATAATCCTGAAGCTGAACTCGTCCTTCAAGTTGTTGCTTCACTGTGAGTAGCTGGGCTGCACCTGATCCAGAATCAGTGTGACCCGGACCCTGGGAGCTACAGACGACAGATGGCTGCAGGGTTCACTCAGGTTCTGGTCGTGCGGTGCTGGTCCGGACCGGGCCAGAGGTGGTGGATTAAATACTGGGCAGCAGCACGTGCACATCAAGCTGGACGGAGCAGTGGGCTTTAGTCATGCTGTACCGGGACTTTTTTCATCTATCGGGTCGGACCGGAACCGAGCCCCTCCTGTACTGCAGAGCCTGGTAAGTATAATTTTGCAGCTCCTGTACATATAAGTACTGTATGTTGTTAAAACGAGTAGGTTTCAGAGTTCAGAGGACTGACTGTGGGCTTCATCGCTGCAGGAGCGTCTGCAGAAACGAACGGAGTTGGAAAAAACCCAGAGTTGGACCGGAACCAGAGCTGTTGCTGTTCTGCAGAGCTAGTAAGTAAAATTTAGTACACATGTTGTTAAAATGACATAGGTTTAAGAGTCTAGAACATTCCAAGAGTGTGGGAAGGGTTTCCAAAGCCTTAATATAAAGTTTATTGTACTTGAACTTGGACTACTGTGTGGTTTTTCACTTATCGCGGGGCTTCAGGGTACAGAACTCCTGCGATAAACGAGGGATTACTGTGTTTTTTTTATTTTATTTTATTAATTAAATCAAAGTATACAATAAGAAAACATATTTTTCAGGTTGAGCCAAGTGTTTAATAAACTAATGGTCAACTACCAGAAAGTATGCTGAAAAGCTGCTTGCAAAATATACAGAAGAAGCTTTAAGCTGGAAAGCTGACGAATATTCACACAATAAATGAGACACATTTGAATTTGATGGTAAATATCTGCTGAGGAGTGCGCTTGGAGCATACTCACAATCTTAATGGTGCACTCTTTCTCCAGGATGATGGCAATCACTCCGGCTATGATGAACTGAAGACACAAAACAGAGAAGGCAACAAAAGAAGTTTTATCTACTCAGCAAATCAACACATTTGATTAATGATCAAAATACAATTATTTTATCTCATTATTTTTATCATTTTTGATGCAGCCTGCAGCCTCAGGATTACCAGATGACCACCCAGCAGTTACCGCTGTCAAAACAATCAAAGCAGTTTGAGAAAAGGTTTAGATTTTCTGTGAAGATCGATGAATGCCGAGTGCTAAATAACTTTCCTGAAATGTGTTTAAGAAGCTGAAACTGAGTAACTGAAGTTAAAAGTTTGGCAGCGCGATGACGCAGTGGTTAGCACTGCTGCCTCACAGCAAGAAGATCCTGGGTTCAATCCCCGGTTGGACCGGGGTCTTTCTGTGTGGAGTCTACATGTTCTCTCCGTGCTGCGTGGGTTTTCTCCGGGTACTCCAGTTTCCTCCCCCATGTCCCAAAAACCTGCATGTTGGTCTGCCTTCAGGCCCAGGCCTCCCTTGCAAAAGAGATCTGTGATCTCAGTGGGATTTGTCTAGTTAAATAAAGGTTAATAAATAAATAAATAAATAAATAAAACAAATATAACACTAGGTTAAACAAGCAAAACACTAAAACAAGCAGAAGAGTGGCTAAAATAAACAGTAGCTATAAGCAAAAATGAGTGAAATAATAAATACAAGTTGTTGACAAAATACTATGGATCAAACTAAAAATTGCTACACAATAGCAAAAAGCTAAAGGTATTCAAATTGTAGCTAAATCCTTAAATAAACAAAATAGTAGCTAAAAGCTAAAATGAGCTAAATTGTAGCTAAATCATAAATAAGAAAACAAAATTGACTGCGTACACCACTGTAGATTTCAGAGAACAATGTGTTTGAAAGAACTGACCAGAGCTCAGAGCATTTCTGTATCTGAATGGTTAAAAAAGTACAGCATGTGCAGAAGTAGTTAGATTACAAAAGAAACTGACGGAAATTTAAAAAACAGGAAAACAATTGAGAGAATGCTGAATCTGCTTTTGAACTATCACGTCCGTTACAGTTGACCAAAAATAAAACCTCATTTCAGCAAATGTTAACAGCTAAAGGATAATTCTTTGGCCTACATTAACTGATTAACTTCTGGAGTAAACACACTACAAGACGGCCACCACAATAAATTAACATTAACCCGCCAAAAATAGCTAAACCTCAGCGATTTTTACAGACTCTGAGCTAAAGTTTGCTGTAGCAGCAGCTGAGGGTCATTCATAACACAAACCCCAAACTCTAACAGGTTATGTGATTGTTTGTAGTGTTGCAATATTGCATGAGATCATACTTTTTTAATTCAACCTTTATTTTACAGGTTAATCCCATTGAGCCTCGAGGACTCATTTACAAAAAAGACCTGATTTCAACAAAGAAAGATGACAACAACGGACAGTTATATAAAAAGGCATACAGATTATTTTTTACAAATACTTAATGTTACTTTTGAAGCAGTAGTCTGATAATCAAAACTCGTGGAGGAAAAAGAAGCCGAATGCATAATGGCACAAAGACAAGGGATGTGGGCAACAAACTGTTATTTAAAGGGAACCGAAAGTGCTGCTGCAGCACGTCGTGACCTCAAACAAGGAACCAGAGCAAAGAAAAATACATTCTACAAGCACGGTGCCTAAACTGCCAACCCATTTCAACACTGCAGGCACAATATTCACTGTAAGTTTGTTTTCATGGCTCTAAAACAGATTTTATTTCACAACAAATACTGAAATAATACATCATTTAACTGAAATGGATGAGGTGTCGCATGTGAAAGTGTCACATGCCCAGAGATGTTTGCTGAGATGATGGCTGCCTTAAAGCTCCCAAACCAAAGATGCATAATGTATGACAAACACAGGACATCTTGACTCATGCTCAACAATTCAGGTAGAAAAATCGAACAACGTTAATGTTAACAAGCACTAAGTTTTAAACATTTGCCAAGTTAACAAAGCACGAGTGTGTATATGAGGCGCCTCAGTCCAGGACTGACGTGTTCTGGCCGCCTTGGTCTATTCAGAAGACACACTGAGGCAGCGAGGGGGGCCGGAGACACCCTACCACTGAGCCATCTGCCCACTGGAGGGATCAAACAACAACAACCAGTTTGATTACTGGGGGGATATTGATGATGGCACACAGTGTCGTTAGTTTTAAACAATAGTTAACCACACAGAGGATTGCTGAAGAGAGTTAATTCATTATGTCCAGTAAATGACTGGAGGGAGACGTCTGACACATTTAAGGCGTTGCACTCTGCTTCAGCCCTGCAGAGTTCTGCTCCATGCCACTTTTGGTTCTGCTCTGCCCGCTTCCTTTCTGAAGGCTCAAATGAGCGGGAAGTGGCCGGCTTCATCTGTGATATAGAAATGGCTAGAGGAAGCTTAAAGGCAGATGGTCTATCGCCGCTTTTCCATTAGTACCAGTTCAGCACGGTACAGCATGGTTCAGCTGGTTTTCCGTTACACTCTAGTGTAGTGGTTCTAGTGGGCGGGTTCAGAGTTCAAAAACTTTTACCCGCTTCTTCCATTTTTGGGTCACGGGGATCGCCAGTGCCCATGTCCAGCAATCACTGTGCGGGGACACCCTGGACATGTCTCCAGTACATCACAGGGACACATAGAGACAAATGAGACAAACAACCATTCACTCTCTCACTCACACCTAGGGACAGTTTAGAGTCACCAATCAGCCTAACATGCATGTTTTTGGTCTTTGGGAGGAAACCGGAGAACCCGGAGAAAACCCACACATGCACGGAGAGAACATGCAAACTCCACACAGAAAGGCCCCCGGACTGGGATTTGAACCGGCAACCTTCTCGATGAGAGGCAGCTGCTCTACCAGTTGCGCCACCGTGCGGCCCGACCCTGAAACAATTCAACTCAATTCAGTTTATTTATACAGCACCAAGTCACAACAGGTCGTCTTAGGACACTGAACAGAAACATTCATGTATAAAAATAATAATTTAACATTATTTATCTGAGGAGCAGCTTTGAGTTTAACTTCATCACAGAACTCTCATCGGTACAGGGTGAGAATCTATTTTCAAGTTTCTGGTAAATTAAAAAGAATACACTTTATTAAAAGGATCAAATTAAACAATATATAAATATGTCCTGCTAATGAGCTTTTAATGAACTTTAGTTCACCATTAAATCTCTGATGAACCAGATTCTACAAAAACATCTATATTTAAAATTTTACGGGTTTTCTTCATCATTTGATGTATTTGCACTCATTGTGTCTACTTTTATTGTTCAATTTAGACGTGTGGTTTTGTTTCTTGTATACAGATTTTTTTTAGCTTTGCTTTAAAGTTTAATTCTTGTTTTGTTATTTGTACATCTGTGGGTTAGAATAAAGTTGAACTAAAGAATGTATCTCTTCTTTAAACATGTTCGAGGGAAATATTCCTGAGAGATCCAACATTTTTCAGTCGGGTCATCTGGACAGTTTTTTTTTTTTTGTGCTGAAACATTTCACCTTTGATCCAGAAGGCTTCATCAATCAAGGAAACACACAACACAAAACTGATTCTTCCCCCAACAGCTTACTCCGAAGTGGAACAAACCAGTTATGTTGGTGCTAAGAAGGTCTGTTTGGTGCACCCCCTTTTGCCTCCTCCATTGCTGGCCCTCTTCCTTGTTGACGGATGGAAGGCGAAAAGTTTCAGCACAAAAGAAAAAAGAAACTGTCCAGATGACCTGACTGAAAAATGTTGGATTGTATACCTGGATTATTGAGCATGGACTTTGTTGTTTTCAACCAGTTTGTTAGTAAAGTGCTGCTTTCCCCTCCTCAGCCGCCTGATGGTTTGCCAGAATCTCCTCGGAGCCGACCGAGAGTCTCTATCCAAGGTCTCACCGAACTCCTCCCACATCCGAGCTTTTGCCTCAGCAACAGCCAACGCTGCACACCGCTTGGCCCTCCGGTACTCCTCAGCTGCCTCCAGAGTCCCACTGCCCAACAAGGCCCGGTAGGACTCCTTCTTCAGCTTGACAGCCTCCCTAACCCGAGGTGTCCACCACCGAGTTCGTGGGTGACCACCGCGAGAAGCACCGACAACCTTGCAGCCACAGCTCAAGGCAGCTACCTCAACAATCGAGGTGCGGAACATGGCCCACTCAGACTCAATGCCCCCCACCTCAGCTGGGATGCAGTTAAAGCTCTCCCGGAGGTGTGAGTTGAAGATCTCTCTAATAAAGATAAAGACCCACCAGATAAAAAAAATGAAGTATTAAAAAAGACCAATCAATAAATAAAAACAACGCTAAGAGAAAATCAAGCAACAACTATGTTGAGGACATAACCAGCTAGCTTCTCTTGTTCCTGCCAGGAGTGGCTGAATTATACAACCTAACGGCACAAGGGACAAACGAGCTCTTTAGTCTCTGAGTAGAGCACCTCATCGAAAAGAATCTGGTGGTCAATGAACTTCACTGATGAGAGAAGATCACGTTCAAGGGATGGCCCTGACTGGACATGTTCATCCTGATCTTGGAGCACGTCCTCTGCTCCACTACCTTCTCCACAGAGTCAAGGCCCAGTCCCACCACAGAGCCTTCCTTCTTATTAAGCCGATTCAGCCTTAGGATGTCCTTCTTCTTAGTGCTTCTCCCCCAACACACACCAAAACAAGGGAAGATCGTATCTCAAAACTAAAGGATTTTTCTAAACTCGTCATAGTTTTTCCAAACTTATTTACAGTATCTTAAAATAAAGGTAAGATAATATATGTTTTTAAAATTTATTTAAAAAGAGAAGCGTATGGGGCAGCACGGTGGCGCAACTGGTAGAGCTGCTGCCTCTCAGCGAGCAGGTCCCTGGTTCAAATCCCGGTCCAGGGGCCTTTCTGGGTGGAGTTTGCATGTTCTCTCCGTGCATGCGTGGGTTTTCTCCTGTAGTGGACTAGGCCCATGTCAAAAACTAAGTCTAAGGTCAAAAATCTTGACCTTAAGAACCTTGTGGGACAGGAACTGTCATTTCATTGATTTGAATCCAGAAATACAGGTTCACCCATCCTGAGACTTTCTCTCTGAAGATTCAAGTGAAAAGAACACTCTCTGTTTTATTATCATTACTATTTTACAAATGTTGATAATCAAAGTGTCTTAGTTCAAACCATTTTAGATGTTGCAGTGAACTAATCAATTTTATTAACTGTGTAATGATTTTTTCTCACGCAAAGTTAGAACTCATGTCAAAGCTGTTACAGAGTAATTATGCCTTTTCTGATTTCTGCTTTTGAATGAGCAAGTGTAAGTTGGTCCAAGGTTGGAGTCAAACGCAAAACAAGTTGTTGGCATGTTTTTAGAATCCTCTCAGACATAAATATAGAGGTTTTTGGCACCTGTTTCTGAAACGCGCCAAAACAAAACTCTCTCTGTCTGTGAGAACATTTCTGATCTTTCCATAACAATTCTTGCTGTCTTCTAACCTCTTACGTCACAAAACACACCCCGTCTGGTCGGTTCTGACCAATGGGAATACTCCCAAAAGTGGACCGGAAAACAGCTCTTTAAAATGTCAGTACTTCCTGGTCTGTAAGGTTCTGTTCGAGATCTGTAAACTACACAGTTCTGTTAGAAGCTCTGGGATGGTGCTGGAACAGTTCTGGGACAGTTCTGTTCAGTTCTGATGGAGTGCTGTTGGAGTTCTGCTGGATACACAGTCCAACCAGTTCTGTGAGAGAAGCCCAGTTCTGTGAGAGATGGGATGATCCTGACATGACAACAGAGCTCTTCCGAGTTCCATGGGATTATAACATTTTCACTCGCCACTACTTCTGACGATTCACAGCATACTAAGGAGACGCTGGACAGGTAGCGTTAACGGAGCTCCATATCTGCTGATTAACTTCAGAGAGGTAACGAGTCAAGTTTCCTACCAAGCGTACCGGGGAGAGCTGGGGTCTGACGGAGAGTGTCAATTCTGGTGAACACTTCCCCTCCCATACCATCTTTACTCCCTCTAAACTTCTTTCCCATCTTTAAACTTTCTATCAAGTAGATATACTTCCAGATATTTAGAAATGTCTGTGTAAAATGCTCATCCACATCCGTGTGGGTAAAAGATCATAATTGTACAGTTTCATAAATGTCTGTGGTGAAGCAACGGAAAAATCATGGCCGTATGATTTTTCCTGATTGATTGCTTATGTTGTTATTTTCATAATTTGCCAAATTAATGTAAATGTTTGATGTTAAATTTTGATTCTGTAAATAAATGACCGCATTCATTTTGATGGGTCAAATATAAATGACGTCTCACGTTTGCATTTCCTTAAATTCAATGCACGTTTTATTCAGTCCAGAAAAATGAGGAATCCGTGTTAAATGATGAATATATCCGAGCATCTGTTCATCTACACTCCGGGTACTCCGGTTTCCTCCCACAGACCAAAAACATGCATGTTAGGCTGATTGATAACTCTAAATTGTCCCTAGGTGTGAGTGAGAGAGTGAATGGTTGTTTGTCTCGTTTGTCTCTATGTGTCTCTGTGATGGACTGGAGACCTGTCCAGGGTGTACCCCGCCCCTCGCACAGTGATTGCTGGACATGGGCACCGGCGACCCCCGTGACCCAAAATGGAATAAGCGGGTAAAGATAATGGATGGATGGATGAAGAGAAGCGTATGGAGTTGATTAAACGACAATTAGATGCCATTTTAGAAGGACAAAAAAAGGCTAAATTGAAATATAAGCTTCTATTTTGGATTCATGTATGTGAGCATCCAGTTCCAGATGAGTCAGTGCCTCACCGCCACAAAGTTCACCGCACGTCACTCAGTGGTTAATAACGCTAGCCAACTGAACTGGAGACACATTGGAATGGCCAGCCACAGCAGAGTCTGTGCATCAAACACAAATCTCTGCAGTTTTTATAAAGAAAAAGTGTTATCCAATAAAGATGGTGGTAAAATATGATCCCCTGCTAGCAGCGTGTGTCTGCAGCCAAAATGGCGTCCAAATTGAACCCAGATTTTAAGACAGGCAGCTCCTATAACATTCTTAGTGTACAATAACTAGAAGTAGAGTGAAGAGGTGAGGTAAAGCTTTCAGTGCTACCAGCTGAGCAGAATTCACTTCCACATCCACTCATGAAATGATCAATTCATTCTCCTCATATCGAACCCAATGGTTCAGTCTTCTTGTGTCAGTCACTCAATAGGTTTGGTACTGCCATTCCACCCAGCTCTTAGGGCCTCTGTAGAACTTGATGACCCAGTCTGGGTGTTTTGGGGGGGTTTTTTTTCTAAAAAAATCTAGAATCAGACTATTGACCCTACAGAAAAAAGACAAAGGAGAAAGAGATTTAAATATATTAAAAATAGATATAAGTGTGTGGAAAGTTATTCAGTTTGATTAACCCTAACAGCCACAGAAAGGTTAAGGGGGGAACATTGCTCAAAACTGTTTAATTTGAATAATTAAAGAGAGAGGAAAAAAGATCAACCATTGTGGCAGTTATGTACACCTCAAAATATATATAAAAAAAAAAACCTGAAGTGGATAATGACGGCTTACATTTGTCAAGATTAAGTTTCTATCCAGACATTTTACCAAACGCATCGAGAACTGACAGGATGGCAGCCAAGAAGTTATTGAACTGTTGAGACACCATTTTGGCCAATGGTTTTAGCCAGAAATGAGAGATTTATTACCAGTCTGTAATTTTTCACCAGTGCTGAGTCCAGATACTTCTTTTGGAGAAGTAATTTGATTACAGCAGTATGTAGGAGCTGCGGAAAACTCCTGAAACAGGAACTTATTAACGATCTGTAGAGTCTCTGAGGCCATACAGTGTGAAACCATTTTGAAGAAACATGTTGGTCTGATGTCTATAGACAACAAGAGAAGGATTTCAGATGTTGCATGGCATTATGTCTGATTCATAGGTTCAAACTGTGTCATGATATCTAGACAGAAGTTCTGAGGGCTTATTAGCCTGAAGACAGTAGCAAACAAAGTACAGTATGTATATATTTTGTGTTGTTGCTGCGTAGTGGTAATGATGACTTCCTGTATTTTCAGAAACTGTCACTCCTTCATGAAAGCTTCATAAACTCACCATTAGTCCAGTCCACCAGGGAACCCCGAGGCTGATCACATCAGAAAGCTCAGTGAAGTGCAAAGGAATGGAGTAGGATATGATCATCAGCCCCAACATCACCTGGCTCACCTGCACACACAACAGCATCCAGAACACACACACATTTCTTTGGAAGCAGTTGGAAAGAAAAGCTCTACAATGGCACTACTGCTTAAATAGCTGCAAATTCTGTGCAAGAGCAGGTATAACGAAAGAAAAAATACTATTTTCCAACATAAATAAAATGTGCACTGTGTTACTGAGATAATTATTCATGTAGACATTCCACTAAAATCTGGGAGTCAGATCAAGACAAAACAAATAAAAACATTTGAATAGCACCAACAGATTAGGTTTAGAGACATTTATTTTCTTGTCATCTCTAAGATGATCTCAGTGTAAAACTCTGGCATCGAAGGTGGTGGGCGAAGCTGTAACCAGCATTACTGCTGTAACTATTTTTGTTAGAGAAAAAAATTATTGATACTTCACAAATGGAAATTGTGTGTTGTTGTCACATGTCAATTCAATTCAATTTATTTCTATTGCACCAAATCACAACAAAGTTGTCTCAGGGCACTGAACAGGAACACACACATACATAGAAAAGTCAGTTAGTAATGTCCATCATGTTAAAATCATACCTGTTTTGCCTTTAAGGAACTGTAAAAAGCTGATTTGAACTCAGTGATATTATTATCTTAAACAACTGGTTTCACTGGTCACTTCCAGTATGAAAGATTCAAATACTTTGGCACTGACAGTCTGGAAATGGGGTTCCGCTGCTTATTATTACTTCTATTATTTATTTCTTTATTTTTTCTTTCAACTGCTTCCTTTGTCGAGGATCGCCACTGTGAGTGAACTTGGATGAAGATTTGGCAGTTGCTGCATGCTCTTCCTGAACACAGACCACTGATCTACCACAGCCCACATGTGTGGAGCAGAGGGCTGAGGGAGCGGTGGGGGGGGGGGATTTCCCTTTTTTTACTTTGCAGCCACTGACTCGTCATTTTACCTAAAACAAATGTTCCTTTAAAATACTATTTAATTCTGTCCTATGAATATTATAAAATTAGTTTCACAGAATTTTTGCTTATAAGACATGCAGATTTGTGTAGAACAGCGGTGTCCTACACTCAGCACTCTGCCAGGTGTTTGACCACAGCTGGAGCTGGTGAGAGGTTTCACTGCTGGAAACAAATGAAACAGATTGCATGAAGACAGTGTTTGGGTTTGGATTTGAACTGTTCAACCAATTGGAGGCTCTTGAATAGGAAAATGACACAAGGTAAAATAAAATAAAAATATTGCCATTTTGGCCGATGGACTCCAATCACTGAGGATTGTTCGTCCAAGAGCCCAACTCCAATATACACACAAGCACAGACAGAAAGAGTTTCTAAAAGTCAAATGGGAGGACAGCTTGAAGAGTGAATGAAGAGCTTCCAGTTCTCAGACTCCTCTCTTGTGGAACAAATTTATAGTTTCTTTTTGTGAGGCTGGCACTGTCTACTCTCATTTATATTTAAGACTTTCCATTCGGATAACTTCTATAGCTATATTCTATGTTCTATTCTATAAATATCTGATAGATTCCATTTTGTAAATGTAAATAATGAATCTTCTTCATACACCAAAGTCAGTCATGGGGTTCCTCAGGGCTCAGTGCTTGGGCCAATACTCTTTACTTTATATATGCTTCCATTAGGTAAAATTATTAAACAGCATGGGATAAATTTTCATTATGCTGATGACACACAATTATATTTGTCCATTAAACCCAATGAATCCCATCAGTTACTTAGACTACAAGCATGTCTTAAAGACATAAAAACCTGGATGACCCTTAATTTTCTCCTGTTGAACAGACAAGACTGAGGTTTTGGTTTTTGGACCTGAGCACCTTAGGAATGAATTTTTCAGTCTTTCTCCCTCCTTAGACGCATTAATCTGTCCTCCAGCTTTAATGTTAAAAATCTTGGTGTTATTTTTGATCAGGACATGTCTTTTATCCCCCACATTAAAAACGTTACTAGAACCTCCTTCTTCCACTGCGTAATATCACTAACATTAGAAACATCTGATCTAAAGATGATGCAGAAAAACTGGTCCATGCATTTGTCACGTCTAGACTGGACTATTGCAATGGTTTATTATCTGGGTGTCCAAATACTTCTTTAAAACATCTTCAGTTGATCCAAAATGCTGCTGCCAGAGTCTTAACTGGAGTTACTGGGAGAGATCATATCTCTCCAGTTTTAGTTTCTCTCCATTGCCTCCCTGTCAAATCCAGAATAGAATTCAAATCTTACTTCTAACCTACAAAGTTCTCAACAACCTAGCTCCATCTTATATTACAGATCTTATTGTTCCATATTTTCCTAACAGAGCACTTTGCTCTCAGACTGCAGGTTTACTTGTGGTTCCTAGAGTTTACAAAAACAGAATGGGAGGAAGATCTTTCAGTTCTCAGGCTCCTCTCTTGTGGAACCAACTTCCAATCTCTGTCCGTGAGGCTGACACATTATCCAGTTTTAAAACTAGGCTTAAAACTTTCCTTTTTTGATAAATCCTATAGTTAGGGTCGGCTTGGGTTTCCTGAGCTGTCCCTTAGTTCTGCTGCTATAGGCTTAGACTGCTGGAGGACAAACTGACCACATTTTTCACTCTGCTACTGTCTTTACTTACTCTGCTCAACCTGTTTTGTATTTGTAATTATTTTTTCTATCCTTAACATGTGGTTTTTTGTCTTTCAGGTACACCTGGACCTATATCTGGACCTGGACCTATATCTGGACCTGGACCTATACCTGGACCTATATCTGGACCTGGACCTATATCTGGACCTGGACCTATACCTGGACCTGCACCTATATCTGGACCTGGACCTATACCTGGACCTGGACCTATACCTGGACCTATATCTGGACCTGGACCTATACCTGCACCTATATCTGGACCTGGACCTATACCTGGACCTATATCTGGACCTGGACCTATATCTGGACCTACCATTCTGTGTTCGTTTGTCTCTCCTTCCTGTCCTCTCAACCAGCTGGTCAAAGCAGATGGTCTCTTGTCCTGATCCTGGTTCTGCTGGAGGTTTCTTCCTGTTAAAAGGGAATTTTTCCTTTCCACTGTTGCCACTGTGCTTGCTCAGGATGGGAGACTTCAACCAGAGCCCTATGAAGAGAGAGTTGCGACACTCTTTGAACTCGCAGATACGCGGTCACGTGGTTCATGCAGCTCTCAATAGTTCCAAACAGTTCATCGCTGTCAGTCAGTTTGAGCAGCTGCTGGTGCAACATAACACATAAATCGACTTTTCTTACTTTATCTGTGTCTTTCAGTAATTATTGATCAGTAACAAACTGATTACTGATTATTTCACTGACTATGCATTTTATCAAAGCATTTTTAGTTGTGGCTGATACATTTATCATTAAATTTTAGAAGGAAACGAGTCTGCATACACATATTTGTTAGAAAAAAAAAGTCTATGCAATACAATGATCAATATAGCCATGTCAGTGTTTTATAATGTTACACATGTTAAAAAAAGATCAGAGTAACACCTGTTATAAAGCTGTTTCTGATGTTCTCTGCATGAGAATGCTCCACCTTGTCCTCCATGCAGCATCAGATCTGCTCCAGCTTACCTCAGAACATCTGGATGAATTCTTGATTTCTATAGAAGATATTAATTCAACCTTTATTTAAACAGGTTCGTCCCATTGAGCCACGAGGACTCATTTACAAGAGAGACTGAATATAATTGTTGTATTTGTCATTTTTTTTATGTCAACCAAGTACCTGATAACTGAGTTGATTGTAGCCTGACAACTATTGTAAAACTGTAATTCATTGATTAAAATGTTAATTTAAATGAAACTGTTTCTAGTTAAAATCATAAGACGACAAAATAAGTGTTAACTGTGCAAAAATAAATTTCCAAACAATTATAAAATATGTAAAATGTAAAGCAAGCTTTAATAAAGTACTTTTACTGCCATTTATACTGTTTATTAATGACATCATCTGAAGTCAGCAGGAGCACCATCATCATCATCATCACAAAGTGAGAGCTGTAAATTTAATCTGCACAAACATTTTCAATCAGGGCTCAAAATGTTGAACTGTCAAAGAAATGTGCAAGAAAATAAACTAATGTCACTCTACAGACACATTTAGAGAGAGGACAGTTCACAGAGACACAGTGAGGACGAGTGAGACAGAGACACAGTGAGGACAGTTCACAGAGACACAGTGAGGACGTGTGAGACTGAAGGAGGGTCAACCAGTTGTTCATGGACCAGAACCAAATGAGAAGAACAGCAGAACTTCCACTGACCAGTGACCTGACCAGTGACCTGACCAGTGATCTGACCAGTGACCTGACCAGTGACCTGACCAGTGACTTGACCAGTGATCTGACCAGTAATCTGACCAGTGACCTGACCAGTGATCTGACCGGTGACCTGACCAGTGATCACACATGTTCTAAATTAAACTTTGGTACGAACAGTGTTAAATAAGACATGTCATATTTTTTATTGAACAATAATCTTCATTCTAACAGTGACGTTGTAATTTCAGAGACTGAGGAAGAAACAGAAATGAGGCGAGTGAGATGAGGGACAGATGAAAATGTGTCCTCAGAGGACGGGGACATGTCAGGATCTGATGATCCAGGATCAACAGGACCAGGAGGATGGATCAACAGGACCAGGAGGATGGATCAACAGGACCAGGAGGATGGATCAACAGGCAGTCAGGGAACAGAGATGAACAACCTCAGGGAACAATTAGAACACAAAAAAAATACATGAGCAGGACAGAAGAAACTCACAGACAAGAAAATTAACTCAGTCCTGTGAAGAAAAATGTTAATGGAAAATAAATTGACATATTTTTACAAAAGATCAGATGAAGACAACTGGCATGAACAAGAACGTCCAGCTCCATCTCAATGTACCTGTGATAGTTTAATAAGTGTTTTGTTACTGTCCTACAGTTTATTGATGCTGATTTATTCTTGTAATAATTCTTATTTCTTGTTCTGTCTTGAAAGAGTCTCATCTCAACTTGACCCATGATTACCAAACACTAAACTAATAATATAAAACTAATGTAAATGAACAGTCCTGCAGTAAATACCAACTTTGTGAAGGTTATGGTGTTAAAGTAATTTTATTCAAACATCTTGATTCAGCTGTTATTGATTAATAGAAGACAGAAAATGAGATCTTGTACCTTTGTGATACTTTGAATGCAACATTCAGTTCATGAAGTCATTCTCCTCTGGTTTACCTGGAAAACATGAAAACATTGACTCATCTCCACAATCACGTTTTTCTTTAATGATAATGTCACAATTTATGCTGCAGTCTTTGACAAATGATCTATAACTTGAACTAAATTACGTCAGTCTTGTTGTCATGTTGTCATCATTCTTTGTTAAATCAGGTCTCTCTTGTAAATGAGTCCTCGAGGCTCAATGGGATTTACTGTAAAAATAAAGGTTGAATGAATCTCAGGAAAAAAGGTCAAATATTTTCATGTTGAGTTCAGTAACTGGAATTACCATAAATTTAAAAAAGACCACCTTTCAAAATTTAAGCAGTAATAGATATTTTAAAACGTTGAATTAGAAATAGACCCGTTTAAACCGTCATGTTGCAGAGCAGCTGCAGTTAAAACACAACTAGCAATTTAACATGTTTCATTAACTAAAACTGGAGACATGAAGTATTAATGTTGATAAATTGTGGTACAGAACAGTCAGATAACGCTTCACAATGGAGAAAAAGTGTCGCATTTGCATCAACTTACCGGAAAAACACGGAGAATGAACCACGTTCAATGCTGAACCGCTGCTGTTTGGAACTCTTTGCTGCTGCATGACCCACGTGACTTCTGCATTCCATTCTTTCTATGGGAGTCTGTGGGAGTCTGTGGGAGTCTATGGGAGTGTCGCAACAATCTCTTTATAGGGCTCTGGTTACAACGAAGCCAAGATTCAACTTGTCTGCTGGATTCCTTAGATAAAGAACGTTACTAATAGACTTTTATGTGAATGTTCCTGTAAAGTTCCCTGAGACAACTTTGTTGTGATTCGGCGCTTTATAAATAAACTGAATTGAATTAACTGACCACATTTCTTTACTTACTCTACCTGTTCTGTATTTGTAATTTTTTTTATCCTTGATGTGTTTTTTTGTCCATTGCCCTGAGATGACTTCTCTTGTAAATTGGCACTGTTTAAATCAGAACTGGATTTCATTAAAGGAAGCGTTGTTGTGAATAATTTCAAGGCTAGATTGGCATCAGCTCTTTGGAAGCACCACTTAATTAGTTTGTAAATCATTGTTCACAACGGTTTAGTCATTAAAAATATTAAAAGAAATGTAAACTCACCCCCAAACACTTGGGCTCTCCTTTCTGTATGGCAGCACGCAGTGCCTTTTGTCTGTCTGATAGCTTCACAACATTCACATCTTGGAGCACCTGAACCGTCAGATCCCTGGACACTGACACTGCCATCACCTGCTGAAGACTGTAAAACCCCTACAGTAGTACAATTAGAGTTATCAGACAACTTGCCCACATCTGTAGACTTCCAGCTGTCTCTCTACTGTATTACTGAACTACGTGAGAGCCATCTGCAGCACCTGACTGGTCCAGCAAGTCTGACATGCCTGAATAAACCTTCTGTAAGAACCAGAGTATCTCAGTTTAAACAAACGTGTCATCTGCATGCATTAACCAGGATATTTGTTAAATGGACATATTTTCCTTTTAATTAAAAAAAAATCACTGTCTAAGTTATTTTTTTTACAAAAACTAAGAAACACTTCAGAAATAACACAAATACAATAAATAAATTGATAGATGGATAAAAATGGCGGCACAGGTGGATCAGTTGACAGAGCTGCTGCCTCTGCGAGAAGGTCGCCGGTGTTGCACCATATTCTGTGACCACCGTATGTGGTGACCGTGGCTGGTGCATTTTTACATCACACCAGACCCGAGCCCCAACAATGGGAAAACAATATGAGGAGCAAGGGCGTCAGAAGCATCCGTAATGTGTGTGTGTGGGGGGGGGGGGGAGGGGGATGATGTGTGTAGGTGTGTGCGCATGCACGTGTGCGCCCACGTAAAAAAGGTGTTCACTAGTGTACAAAAAAAGCAACATTTCACCTGGATTTCCTTTAATTCCACACATTTAAAACATGTTTCTCACCAAGTTTGTGTAAATTCATCTGTGGGTTTAAAGACATTTTAACTTTAATACACTTTAACACAGAGCGTCAGGTCGACACTATTTGTGTTTATAGAGAAATAAAAACCATCACCACTGGACTTTTTTACTTGTGTTCAACACTCCTCATCTAAATGATGTTTGTCATGAAGCTTGAGGACAACAAGGTGTGGGGGTTTAAAGATGTTTCAACTTTAATGCACCTGAACACACAGAGTCTCTTCCACCTGCAGCGTCACAGTTACTGCTGAGATAAGATGCTACAGATGCAGCTCCTCTCAATCATCCTCCTAACATGAATATATGTTGATGATCAACCCCCCCATCAACAACTGCCAGCACTAAGCTGCTAAACTGGCGAGTGAGGAACACAGGTACCTCCACCTGTGCGCGTTTTCTGCGGAGGCAGGAAGCGACGGTGGAGGTAACCAGGAAAACCTGGAGTGGAGTTTTAGTGACTTGAGTGTTCTCCTATTAATCAAGTGGAATGGATTTGTTCACGACGAAAGAGAAACTGCGCCGCCTGAACTGTTTTATAGTAAAAAAAGGGGGGGGGGGGGGGGTTCCAAATGAAAGTTTTTTTAATGTGGGGGGGACACGTCCCCTTCACATATAATGGTTGCGACGCCTATGATGAGGAGTGACTAAAGACTTTTGCACAGTCTAACACACACACTAACTCAAATAGATACACTTGCTGCCACAATTCTAGATGTTAAATATTAACAATGGTTGTCTGTAAAAACAAAATAAATTGTGAATGCATATCACCCGCGGGGGGTCCTGACTGATGACGGGTCAGAGATAATCAGAGAAATAGCTCGAGCTAAAGAAAGCAAGAACAGAACTTAAAACACAAGATCGGGAAATAAAAACCAACCGAAGAGGCTCGTATGGATCTGATCTTCCCAAAACCAAAACCAGCCGCGCATTGCGCAATAACTGGCTGAGATTTGTGCGCCCCCACCCACCCCACCCATCAAATCTGCTCCCACTAACTAGAGTCAGAAAGCAGCTGACGAGCAGCAGGAAACAGAGTCCAGCTTACCTTGAGTGAAGAATCGCTCCTTGACGTGTCCGCAGGAGTTTTGTTGTCCTCCGGGCTGGCGCGTGTCCAGCAGGCTGTTGCGTAATTGCGCTGCGTTAAAAGCGCAGAGGAGCTCCTCCTCCACTTCTTCTGCGGGTTCCACCGAGCTGTTGGCTGAACACTCCGTGCGACTTCGTTCTGTTACCCCCAAGGTAAAGCTTTTATTTACTGTGGTTTGTTTGTTGCTTGTAAACAAGAACAACAAAATTCGTCCATGCTGTTTGTCGACGCGGTTAAAGAACGGATCTAATCCCTAAATCTAACAGGTCCTCAGGCAAATAAAGAACTAACTGGGAGGACTGGGTTCTCCAAGGAGGCATAGGCGTCGCAACCATTATATGTGAAGGGGACAAGTCCCCCCACATTAAAAAAAACGTTCATTTGGACCCCCCCACTATAAAACGGTTCAGACGGCGCAGTTTCTCTTTCGTCGTGAACGAATCCATTCCACTTGATTAATATGAGAACACTCAAGCCACTAAAACTCCACTCCAGGTTTTCCTGGTTATCTCCACTGTCGCTTGCTGCCTCCGCAGAAAACGCGCACAGGTGAAGGAGGTGGAGGTATCTGTGTTCCTCACTCGACAGTTTAGCAGCTTAGTGCTGGCAGTTGTTGATCATCAACATATATTCATGTTAGGAGGATGATTGAGAGGAGCTGCATCTGTAGCATCTTATCTCAGCAGTAACTGAGAGGCTGCAGGTGGAAGAGACTCTGTGTGTTCAGGTGCATTAAAGTTGAAACATCTTTAAACCCCCACACCTTATTGTCCTCAAGCTTCATGACAAACATCATTTAGATGAGGAGTGTTGAACACAAGTAAAAAAGTCCAGTGGTGATGTTTTTTTATTTCTCTATAAACAAATAGTGTCGACCTGACGCTCTGTGTTAAAGTGTATTAAAGTTAAAATGTCTTTAAACCCACAGATGAATTTACACAAACTTGGTGAGAAACATGTTTTAAATGTGTGGAATTAAAGGAAATCTAGGTGAAATGCTGCTTTTTTGTTCACTAATGAACACCTGTTTTTTTACGTGCGCGCGCACGTGCGCACACATCATTGTGCCCACCACCACCACCACCACCACATTAAGGATGCTTCTGACGCCCTTGAACTGGGAGGACTGAGTTCTCCAAGGAGCAGTTGTATTTTTGAAGACCTTTAAAAAAAAGATTTATTTGTAGTTGTTGAAAGCAACAGTAAAAAATATTGTTGAATTATTTCAAAATTGGCTCACAATCCATGGAATAACTCTAAATCAGAGGCGGATTTAGTGTTTTGTGGGGCCAGAGACAAAACACAGTCATGTGCCCCCACATTTTATTTTTTTTTATTTTTTGCCTAAAGCAATGGTCCTGAAACGTTTTGACATATTTATGACACATTACGTTGTTAAACTGACTCTCACAGATTCAAACAACCAAGAGTTAAACAGAGACACACCTTTGCAATAATCTGAGGCATACAAACTGCAATAATATAATATAATAATAATATAATCTGCAATAATCTGAGGCATAAAAATGTTTTTGTGTTGATATTGTTTGACTCCAAGAAGGGAAGTGACAGAGCAGAGGTCAAGGCCGAGACAAGACCAAGACTTTTAGGGTCCGAGACCAAGTCGTGACCAAGACCTCAAATAAAATAAATTAAATATAAAATTTTATTATAAAATATTTTTTAGAAATGTTACTCACTGCAACTTTAAGTTTGCTTTGAATGAATGTATCAGCTTTTATAAATTTTCAAAGCTACATAAAGAAATCAGACATTCAGTGGCCTAACTTCCTGTGCTTCAAAAATAAAATTATCCAACTGTTAAACTGGAAGCAGTTTCTTCACATGACAAGCCTTAAAAAAACTGCAGCGGCAAAACACTCTTCATAAGTCCGAACTCAAGACCAAGGATAACCATATACGTAGTTGCATTAGTTACAAGTATATTCTTTGTGATTTAAATAAGCAAATTTTATAACTGATGATTTGGCAGACATCTTCTCCCACGCCCAGACAATCACTTCTCATTTTCTTGGAGTGACCAGTGTTGCCAGATAGAGACGAGGTTTTCCAACCCAAAAATATGTTAAAAACTGCCACGTCACACAAAAATCTGCCCAATCAATATATGGTTACAGTATATTTACTGTTTGAACATGAACACACATCAGTACAAGCCAAGGTAATTTAACAATATGTGGCAAAACGCAACAATCCAGCAAAAATCTTCCCAGAGTTCCCAGCAAAATCAGAATGAAAACCGCCCAATTGGCAGTTGTAAGGATGGTATCCCTCTGTCAGTCTCCCTGTGTCTGTACTCCCTAGTGTCTCTCAGTAATTACCCCGATCAGCTCCACCCGCCTGTCCTCCAGGTGTTTGTAATTTGTCTCATCTAGTCTGAGTGTATATAAGCTCTGGTCTGTGTCTCAGTCATTGTCGGTGCATTGTCTGGTATCCTCCTGTATCCCTCGTGTTTTCTGACTAGTAAGAGTTTGCTGCCTCGTCAGCTGTTTATTTGTTATTATTAAAGTGTTTTCTTATTTTACGTCCTGGCCTCTGCATCCTGTCTGCACATGGGTTCGTTCTTGTTCAGCTCAGCCTGAAAACCCTGACAGTATGCACCGACCAAAACCAGAACCCAGCAGACAAAGTTCCTTGACTTCACTTACCTCTTCTCTCGAGCCCACATAGATGGTGAAAACCGTGATTCGGTACGGCGGGTTTCAGATCCAACCCGTGCCGGCACAAAGAAGTTACTGCCAGGAGGTGGAAATCCTGCCTTCTCCCCTCCTGGTCCTCGAAGAAAAGAGAGGGTCCCGGCTACGGGGAGACCGCGTGACCCACGATTACATTTCCTCCTCATCCTCAGCTCTGTTCGGCTATTCGGGGTGGACGTCGGGAGAGGACGCAGAGCTGGAGGATGAGCTCTGCTCCACTCCTGCCCCTCAGCCTTCTTGCCGCCGCCGGAGCGGCAGAAACCAAACCCGGAAGTGGTCCATGGCGCTCGTCCTGGCACCTTCCACGTTTCCGACTCTGCTCGGTAGAGCCGAGCTTCCAGTAAACATTCCTGGCGCTGCAGTAGAAACGGATTCTGTTGCCTCACCTCCCAGGGTTCCGGTGAGGGCAGAGTCTGACGCTTCTCCGTCGTGCCGGGCCGCTCCTGCTCGGTCCAGCGAGACTGAGCTAACTGAAACCAGTCCCGGTGCCTCCGCGAGGGCGGGTCCGGTCGCCTCACCTCCCAGGGTTCCGGTGAGGGCGGAACCCGACACCCCACCATTGCTCCAAGCTGCTTCTGCTCAGTCCGGCAAGACTGAGCTTCCTAAACCTAGTCCCGGTGTCTCCATGGGGGCAGGTCCCGTCGCCTCACCTCCCAGGTTTCTGGTGAGGGCGGATCTTGACCCCTCGCCCTTGAATGGAGCTCCTCACAAGACTAGCCCCAAGACTTCTCAGCTCCAACCCCATGAATTATCTCAAATAAACCACACTCTGTAAAGCCTCCTTTTTTCTGCCAAAAATAACCAGGACTGTTTAGACACTGTACTTACCCTTGCTGAAAAGTTTCTGTTATCCCAACCCGGTCTAATCCAGCGCCATGAATATCAGTAGCTTCTTACTGAACTCAGAACTTTTAAGACAGAACCTGACTCTGCCCCAGTACCAGCCCCTTTTTCAGGCTCAGATCCAGACTCTCCTGTTCCTGACTCTGCCCAAGAGCCGGACTCCCCTGCTGCTAAACTAGGCGCCCCTGCTTCAGAGACAGTCCCTGGCCCCCCAGCTGCAGAACAAGTCCCTGGCTCCCTGGCTGCAGAGCCAATTTCTAAGGGAGGCCCTGAGCCCAAGGAAGAGCTCCGGAACGACCCTGGACCACGCTGTCGTTGCCACGGCAGAGGTCGACGGCAGAAAGGTTCCAGGGACTCGGTTCCTGCTTCTGCACCTGACTTGGCCCTGGTCCCAGCGCCTGATTCAGCATCTGCACTCGAAGATCCGACCGCAGAAGAGCTCCTCGTCGCTGACCCGTCTACTTATCTCTTCACCGCTGACTCATCTCCTGAGGTCCTCGCTCCTAGTCCATCCACTGAAGTCCTCGCTCCTGGTCCGTTCACCAAGGTCATTGCTCCTGGTCTGTCCACCGCTTCTATGTCTCATCCAGGCCACCAGTCTGGCCTGTCCCAGCCTGCCGAGATCTTCACTGCCGCAGAGGTCTTCACTGCTTCTGAAGACTCAGCCGCCGAAGACTCAGCCGCCACTTCAGAGGTCTCTACAGAGGTCTCAACGTCCACTGAGGGTCCCAGGTCCGCCGACGTCTCAACGTCCATTGAGGGTCCCAGGTCCACCGACATCTCAACGTCCACTGAGGGTCCCAGGTTCGTTGACGTCTCAACGTCCACTGAGGGTCCCAGGTCCGCCGACGTCTCTACATCAACCAAGGATCCCATGTCTGTGGCTCCTCCAGAGGGTCCTACGCCATCTGCACCTCTAGAGGGTCCTACGCCATCAGAGAGTCCGTGTTCGACAGCTCCTGACCCTGCCGCAGAAGAACCTGTCTTCAAAGACCCTGCCGCAGAAGATCTGAGCCCTCCTGTTTCCTGTTCCGAGGAGGTCCTGGTGGCCGCTCCTCACTTCTCCTGCTTCGTGGAGGTCCTGGCGGATGCTCTTCACGTCTCCTGCTTTGTGGAGGCCCTGGCGGACGCTCCTCACGTTTTCTGCTTTGAGGAGGTCCTGGCGGACGCTCCTCACTAATCTTGCTTTGAGGAGGTCCTGGCGGACGCTCCTCACATCTCCTATCTCAAGGGGGTCCTGGCGTACACCCCTTACATCACCCGTCTTGAGGGGGCCTGGAGGACGCCCCTCAAGTCTCCTGTTCTGGGAGGGTCCTGGAGAATGCCTCCCATGTTCCCTGTTCTGAGGAGGTCCTGGCAGACGCTCCTCACTTCTCCTGCTTCGAGGGGGTCCTGGAGGATGCCCCTCAAGTCTCCTGTTCTGGGAGGGTCCTAGAGGATGTCCTTCACATTTCCAATTCTGGAAG